CCCAGCCAGTCATGCTGGTTGGGGAATTCTGGGAGTTGAAGTCCACACGTCTTTAAGGAGCCTGGCTTGAGAAACACTGGCTGGCAATGAAGCAAGAAGACTGAGTATCAATCAATGCCAATAAAAAAGGTGTAATAAAAGACCTATTAAAATAAAGATCTCATTTGGTGATGAGCGGCGGAGGGACCCGTTTAAAACGCTCGGGATGGCAGCGTCTGTGGCTGACATCTGGAAGGATGCTACCATGATTATTCTCCCGCAAAAGTAACATTTTCAAGAGAAAATGCAAACCCCCAAAGGTTTTCTTTGCCAAGAGGCATTTAAGAGGAATTTTGATGGAAAGGGAAGGCATAAAATTTTGGAAAAATCTGGTGTGGATTTAAGTCAAGCAGGTGGGTTTTCGTTTTTTAGAAGCTTCTTAAGAAATACACCAGGAGGAGAGTTTATTAAATGTTTGGTAATTTGGAGAAAGAAGAGGATAAAGGGAACCAGCGTGAATCCCGGGAAGTTTCGTACAAGAATAAAGTTAAAATTGACACACTGGAGGGATAATGAGTAAAAAACCTCAGGCAAGTATCTAATTTTCTCTATCTTGGTGGAAGCTTTATGACAGATAGGAAAAAGGCTTGGAAAAAATGTGATAGACAGGAAGATTAATAATAATAGTAGTAATAGTCATAGTCGTAGTAGTAGTAGTAGTAGTAGTAGTAGTAATAATAATAATAATAATAATAATAATAATAATAATAATATAGTGGACGTGGACGTGGCAGTGCCTGGAGACAGCAGAATAGACGAAAAAGAACTGGAGAAGATAACAAAATAAAAAGATCTACAAATAGAAATAGAAAGATTGTGGCAAAAGCAAGCAAGGGTAGTACCAATAGTCATAGGCTCCTTGGGTGCAATCCCAAAACAACCAGAGCACCACTTGAACACCATTGGCATTGACAAATTCGCTATTAGTCAATTGCAAAAGGTGGCCTTACTAGGAACTGCTTCCATCTTGCGACGATATCTGTAATACCATAAAACATCTACATCTGCCTATCCCAGGTCCTTCAGAAGGACTCAATAGGTAGACAAAATGCCAAATCCAGTCTGAACATCTGGCTGACCGTGCGATGATCCCAAATAATATAATAATAAAGTAGCAACAATGGCACATTGGAAGATCTGCAAGAAATATCATTTGCCTGTAAGCAAGAACTAGTGGGACTATAAAATAGAGAAAGTCATAGAAAATGATAAAATTAAACTGCTCTGGGACTTCAGAATTCAAACAGACAAGCACCTGCCACATAACACTCCGGACTTAACAATTGTCGATAAGAAAGACAAAAAAGTCTGGATAGTGGACGTGGCAGTGCCTGGAGACAGCAGAATAGATGAGGAAGAACTGGAGAAGATAACAAAATACAAAGACCTACAAATAGAAATAGAAAGACTGTGGCAAAGGCAAGCAAGGGTGGCACCAAAAGTTAATAGGCGCCTTGGGTGTAATCCCAAAACAACTGGAGCACCACTTGGACACCATTGGCATTGACAGATTGGCCATTAGTCAATTGCAAAAGGCGGCCTTACTAGGAACTGCTTCCATCCTGAGACGATATCTGTAATACCATCAAACATCCACATCTGCCTATCCCAGGTTCTGGGTAAGGACTCGATAGGTAGACAAAATGCCAAATCCAGTCTGAACATCTGGCTAACTGTGCGATGATCCATAATAATAATAATAATAATAATAATAATAAAGCTGGAAGGGACCTTGGAGGTCATTTAGTCCAACCCCCTGCTCAGGCAGGAAACCCTATACCATTTCAGACAAATGGCTGTCCAGCCTCTTCTTAAAAACTTCCAGGGTTGGAGCATCTGGTCAAAAGAAGTCTGTTATGAAAAAGGAACATTTAAAGGATTAGGAAAGTGGTTTCCTATCTTCGCAACTAGAAGAAGGGAGAACTTCAACCCCCAGAATTCCCTGGCTGGCATGACTGGCTGGGGAATTCTGGGAGTTGAAGTCCACCTATCGTCAAGTTGCAAAGATAGGAAAACACAGGCCTAACACCTTTCTGCAAACTTGATTCTCTCTCTGAACTTGACAGACAGGCAGGGCAGAAGGAATGTAAAATTATATTGGACCGCCGAGGGGACGAGGGGACCATTATGACGCATATTTTGTGAAGTCCCTCCCCCACGAAAAGAAGATTAAAATGAATGAGTGACATCTGAGTGAAAATAGAAGATGTTGGAGGCACGATCACTCAGAGAGAAGGAATCAGGATCGAATGGCGAAGGAAGGAAGGAAGGAAGGAAGGAAGGAAGGAAGGAAGGAAGGAAGGGAGGGAGGGAGGGAGGGAGGGAGGAAGGAAGGAAGGAAGGAAAGAGAGGGAGGGAAGGAAGGAAGAAGGGAGGGAGGGAGGGAAGGAAGGAAGGAAGGAAGGAAGGAAAAGGGGAGGAAGGAAGGAAAGAAGGGGAGAGAGAAGAAGGGAAGGAAGGAAAGAAGGAAGGGGAGGGAGGGAGGGAAGGAAGGAAAGAAGGAAGGGGAGGGAGGGAAAGAAGGAAGGGGAGGGAGGGAAGGAAGGGGAGGGAGGAAAGGAAGGGGAGGGAGGGAAGGAAGGAACAGGAGAGAAGGAAAGAAAGAAAAAGAAAGAAAGGAAGGAAGGAAGGAAGGAAGGGGAGGGAGGAAAGGAAGGGGAGGGAGGGAAGGAAGGAACAGGAGAGAAGGAAGGAAGGAAAAGGGGAGGAAGGAAGGAAAGAAGGGGAGAGAGGGAAGGAGGGAAGGAAGAAAAGAAGGGGAGGAAGGGAAGGTAGGGGAGAGAGGGAAGGAGGGAAGGAAGGAAGGAAAGAAGGAAGGGGAGGGAGGGAAATAAGGAAGGGGAGGGAGGGAAGGAAGGAACAGGAGAGAAGGAAAGAAAGAAAAAGAAAGAAAGGAAGGAAGGAAGGAAGAAAGGAGGAACAGGAAGGAAGGAAAGAGGGAAGGAAAAGGAAAGAAGGGAAAGGAGGGAGGGAAGAAAGGAAAAGGAAGGAAGGAGGGGAGGGAAATTTCCTCCCAATTGTGGTCGTAAGTCAAGGACTGCCTGCAACATGGAGAGGCCGTAGATAGGTGGGATCAAGGCAGCTACCCGTTTATCAGCTTTAATTTTGCCATATCCTCCTGGCTGCCCTGCCCGTAACACGTTGCAGGATGGGGTAAGCAGGGCTATGCCACTTCCTCTCCTCCACCGACACCCCAAATGATCCAGCCCCGCCTCTGCGAAGGGAAGTGCTTCTCCTTTGCATGCTTGTGTGTGTGTGTGTGTATGTGTGTGTGTGTTGTCTAACACAAAAACAAATAACAGAAAGCAACAGTAAAATAACCAAGCTGGAAGGGGCTTTGGAGGTACTCTAGTCCATGGCTTTTCAACCTTTTGACCGATTGTACCCCTTTTAGGATATGGCAATATTGTGGTGGGGGGGGTGGGGGTGGGAGAGAATCCTTGGAAGTCCTAAATCGGTGTTTCTCAATATATTTTGTCACAGACATTTCTATTTACAAAAAGGGTATTTTGAAACACAGGCACCCAATCTCCGTCCCCCACCATCATCCACGGCCAAAGCAGGAAGGAACAAATCCTTATTTGAGAAAACCCAGGAATATCCTCACCATACCGGCCTCCCCCCCAAGAGGGTCCCTAACCCTAACCTCAGCCCTCCCCGGCACCCAGGCACCCTTCTCCGGGGTCCGCGCCCGCAAGATCTGAGTTATTTCCACTACAGGCTGAAGTCCTAAAGCTCCCCGAGGACGAAACATGGTTTGTCTGAAACATGTTTGGTCCGAAACATGGTTTGTCCGAAACATGGTTGGCTAGCTGGTGACGATACACCGGGCTGTGTGAATGCGATTAACGTCTGGATGCCCAGCTTGGGTGTATTATCAGGGAGGGAAGCATTAAGCACCGAGGACAGTGAAAAAGGTAAATAAATTGGGAATTTATTCCTGGGGGGGGGGAAGTGGAGGGATCTTTTTGATGGTTTTCTTTTTTGGGAAGGGGAGAGGAATGCAAGAAGATTTGGGCACGGATGTATTTTATTTATTGGATTGATCTGCCACCCATCTTGTAGCAAACGATTCTTTTATGGTGATTAATTGGGGGGGGGGGCAGAGCCAGAATCGTGCCCAGCCTGCTTCCCATTGGAATGAAGGAGCAGAGGGTCTCTTGATGGTGGGGAGGGGGGCAAAGAGGCGTAAATTTGTGAGAAAAAGGCCCTTGCACCCTCCCCTCCCGGATGAAAACAGGACCCAGGCGGATGAGAACCAGAGACTGCCGAAATGGGGCTAGTCCTTATGATTCTCAGGAATTCAAGGCCAGGGTTTGGGATGGGAGATGGGAGGTTGGGGGGAGGGCTGTATTCCTGCGACAGGCAAGGGGGCGAAGGGGCCCCGGGACTGACAGGTGGGGTGGGTGGGGATGGGGGAGAACCCAGACCCAAAAGTGGATAGGGGAATTGAGACTTTGTGGGGGGGGGGAAAGCCCCCCCTAGTGGGCAAAGAGGGGAGGGCTGGGATGGGGCAGGAGGGAAGCCAGGCAGTGGGGTGATGGGGAGGGGGAAATAAGGGGGGGGATTCAGACCGCGTGGGGAGGAGGGGGCAGCAGTGGGGCTCCCCGGACGGGAAAAGGCAGGCCGTGGGGGGGGGGAGGAGGGGGAGGCACCCAGGGACCCTTCCCCACCATCCGAAGGGGGCTTCAAGCAGGAAGGAGGGAGGGAGGGAAAGAAGGACCAGCATCCCCCCCCACCCTCATTCCGGCTGGTGGAGGAGGGAAGGAGGGAAGCGGAGGGGAAGGGTCTTTTCTTTGGGGGGGGGTCTTCCTTTGCCCAAGCGGGTCCCGAGGGGGGGTCTTCCCGCACCTTGCATGGGACCAGGGGATGGGATGCTGCGGGTGAGGGGGTGCCCTTCTCCCGCCCCCCCCACCTCTCTTCCCTTTCCATCCCCCCCCTCCCCGGGGGGGGGTCCCTACCTTGCAGCTCGCGAGCAACCTCCCACCCGGCGTGGGCCATCTCAGCTGCTGCAGGAGCCGGCACATGCCCGGCTGGGGCGGCGGTGGGAGCCACGGAGGCTGCGCATTCGCCTTCTCTCCCCCTCCCTCCCCGGGCACCGGCTGCTGGGTGGATGCGAGCAGACGACCCCCCCTCCCTCCCTCCCTCCCCAGCCCCTCCCGCCGCCCCCTCCCCTCCCCACCCAGACCTCCCCCCTCCCTCAAATCTCTCCTTTCCAGGGGCTTCTCTTGAAGCACCCCCCCCCCATGGAAACGCCTTTGGGAGAGACCACCCCCCCTCCTTGCGCACAGCGCTGCCCCCACAAGGGGAAGGGGCGCCGGGAGACCCCCGGCTGATTTCTCTACCCCCCCCCCTCGCTCCTGCCACTTTCCTTGGGGAAGGGGCGTCAAGTCGTGGCTTGCAAATCCCCCCCCCCTTTGGAGGAGCCCACCCCTCCACAAGAGACACAGGCTTTGATTTGGGGACCTGTTTTGTCCCCCCCCCAAGGTGAAGGGGCGCTCCGAGACCTCCGGCTGACTCCCCACGCCACTTTCCTTGGGGAGGGGGCGTCGTGGCTTGCAAATCCCCCCCCCATTTGGAGGAGCCCACCCCTCCACAAGAGACACAGGCTTTGATTTGGGGACCTGTTTTGTCCCCCCCCCCCAGGTGAAGGGGCGCTCCGAGACCTCCGGCTGACTCCCCACGCCACTTTCCTTGGGGAGGGGGCGTCGTGGCTTGCAAATCCCCCCCCCATTTGGAGGAGCCCACCCCTCCACAAGAGACACAGGCTTTGATTTGGGGACCTGTTTTGTCCCTCCCCCCCCCCAAGGTGAAGGGGCGCTCCGAGACCCCCGGCTGACCCCCCCACCACTTTCCTTGGGGAGGGGGCGTCAAGTCGTGGGTTGCAAATCCCTCCCCTTTTCCCCTGCCCACCCCCTCCAAGGAAACACAGGCTTTGGTTTGGGGGACCCGTTTTGTCCCCCCCCCAAAAAAGAAGGGGCGCTCCGAGACCCCCGGCTGACCCCCTCCTCGCTCCTGCCACTTTCCTGGGGGTGTCAAGTCGTGGTTTGAACGGGGACAGAGATTGCAAATCCCCCCCCTTTCCCCTGCCCCCCCAAGAGACACAGGCTTTGATTTGGGGACCTGTTTTGTCCCCCTCCCCAAGGGGAAGGGGTGCTCCGGGACCCCCGGCTGACCCCCCCCGCCACTTTCCTTGGGGAGGGGGCGTCAAGTCGTGGGTTGCAAATCCCCCCCTTTTCCCCTGCCCACCCCCTCCAAGGAAACACAGGCTTTGATTTGAGGGACCCGTTTTGTCCCCCCCCCAAAAGGAAGGGGCGCTCCAAGACCCCCGGCTGACCCCCCCCCCGCTCCTGCCACTTTCCTGGGGGGGGGAATCAAGTCGTAGTTTGAACAGGGGCAGAGATTGCAAGGGGGGGCTTCCTCCTTTCTCCCCTGCCCCCCCCAAGAGACACAGGCGTTAATTTGGGGCCCCGTCTCATTCTCCTTGCCTTCTCTCCCCCAAATTGGATCTCGGAGGCCAGAATCCACCCAAAAACGCGAGCGATGGCTCTAGTCCTCTCGCTCATCTGATCTCCCCCCAGACAAATTACAGCCCAAGATGCCTTAACTGCCTGGAAATCTCAGTTTGTCGGGTCAACAGGTGAGTTTCCCCAAGACCAGCGCGTTAAAACTAGCCAGGCCTGGTGGGCAGCTTGGAACGGGAGCGAGGCGGATTCATCAGCCCGGAGATAAACTGAATTGCACTAAGACGGAGGGTGCAACGTCGTTGCCCTTGATTTTTTTTAATTTCAATTAATAATGTAATGTAATGTAATGTAATCATTTAAAATAAATATAAATAATAAATATAAATATAATAATATGGTAGACAAAAATGCCAAATCCAGTCTGAACAGCTGGCTCACTGTGCGATGATTAATAATATAATAATAATAATATGGTAGACAAAAATGCCAGATCCAGTCTGAACAGCTGGCTCACTGTGCGATGATTAATAATAATAATAATATGGTAGACAAAAATGCCAAATCCAGTCTGAACAGCTGGCTCACTGTTTGATTATTAATAATAATAATAATAATAATAATAATAATAATAATAATAATAATAATAATATGGTAGGCAAAAATGCCAGATCCAGTCTGTACAGCTGGCTCACTGTGTGATGATTAATAATAATAATAATATGGTAGGCAAAAATGCCAGATCCAGTCTGTACAGCTGGCTCACTGTGTGATGATTAATAATAATAATAATATGGTAGACAAAAATGCCAAATCCAGTCTGAACAGCTGGCTCACTGTTTGATTAATAATAATAATAATAATGATATGGTACACAAAAATGCCAAATCCAGTCTGTACAGCTGGCTCACTGTGTGATGATTAATAATAATAATAATATGGTAGACAAAAATGCCAAATCCAGTCTGAACAGCTGGCTCACTGTTTGATTAATAATAATAATAATAATAATAATGATATGGTACACAAAAATGCCAAATCCAGTCTGTACAGCTGGTTCACTGTGCGATGATTAATAATAATAATAATATGGTAGACAAAAATGCCAAATCCAGTCTGAATAGCTGGCTCACTGTGCGATGATTAATAATAATAATAATAATAATAATAAGGTAGACAAAAATGCCAAATCCAGTCTGTACAGCTGGCTCACTGTGCGATGATTAATAATAATAATAATAATAATAATAATAATAATATGGTAGACAAAAATGCCAAATCCAGTCTGTACAGCTGGCTCACTGTGCAATGAATAATAATAATAATAATAATAATAATAATAATAATAATAATTATAAGGTAGACAAAAATGCCAAATCCAGTCTGTACAGCTGGCTCACTGTGCGATGATTAATAATAATAATAATTTCCATTGGTAAGAGGTTTGCACGTTTTATGACCTTTCTTGACACAGTTATTAAGTGAACCACTGAAATATTAATAATAATGAACTCTCAAGCTTCCTCCTTCCGTTATATATTCAAGATGGACAGTATTTAATATTTATTTGTTATGTATATGTAGGGGTGTGGGTCTGTAAATATGTTGTGTATAGTATGTTTAGGTGTGTGTCATGTACGTGTTTCACTTTGAGAGCGGGCAACTAAATTTCATTTTTTTGATGTGTGCCGTTGTGCCCACAGTAAAAAAAAATGACAATAAAGCTTATCTTATCTTGACAATGACAACAACAACAATAATAATAAAATTGGAAGGGGCTTTGGAGGTCATCTAGTCTAACCCCCTATTCAGGCAGGAAACCCTACACCATTTCAGACAAACGGCTGTCAAAGACAAAAGTCTTAAAGTTAGTAACCCGGTTGTTAAGTGAATCTGCCTTTCCCCCTTGGACTTTGCTTGTCCAAAAGTCACAAAAGGGGATCACGTGACTTAAGGACTCGGCAACCCTGTCATAAATACGAGTCTGTTGACAAGTGTCTGATTTATTAATCACGCAAGCATGGGGGGGGATGCTGCAACGGTCGTATGTGTGAAAAACGGTCCTAAGTCCCTTTTTGCACTGCCCTTGTAACTTTGAACAGTCACTAAGCGAATGGTCGTAAGTTCGAGGACTGCCTGTAAAGAGAAAAAAAAAAACACCAGGGGGAATGGCAGATTTAGCCTAATATTGCTGGTTGTTGCTTTTTTTTTTAAATCCTTTTTTTTTTTTTGGCCAGTTCTGGCAGACACTGAACAGACTTTGGGTGATTTTGAAAAAGTTAAGAAGAACCGATTTAAAAAAAAAAAAACAGAAAAAAAGGAAGCAGCTTCAGAAAAAAAAGGCTCCACAATCACTTCCACAATTTTGCCTCCCAAAATTGTTCCAACGTCTTTAGTTGAGGACAAATTTCCCTCTTTTTTATATATATTTATGAAAAAAATAAAAATAAAGCAAAAGTCAGCCTCGGGAAACGGTGCAAACGAGCGTTAGAAAGTTGGAGGTTAAAAATACTTCCTAACAATATAGGCTGTCCTCGCTTGGTGACCGTTCCGAGTTACGACGGCATTGAAAAAAAGGGACTTTGGACCAAATTTTCACCCTTTACGACCGTTGCAGAATCCCCAGGGTCAGGTGATTTACATTCGAAGGCTCGACAGCTGACTCAGACTTATGACGGTCGAGGGATTTCCCCTTTGGTGACCTTCTGACAAGCAAAGCTAATGGGGGGGGGAGCCAGATTCACTTAACAACCAGGTTACTAATTTAAACTCTGCGGCGATTCGCTTAAGAACCGGGGCAAGAAACGTCATAAAAATGGGGCAAAACCCACTTCGCAAAGTTCTCATTTAGCAACGTAAAACTTTGCGCTCGATTCCGGTCGTACGTTTGAGGACTACCTGTAATACGTTGGACAGCGTGACCCGTGTTTATTGGACACCTGGAGATTAAAACATTGAACTACCGGAGATGTTTTTATCTGGATTGGTGTGCAGAGAGGGAAGGGGTGGGATGGATGACCTCGCTGGGTCCCCTTTCAGGATTCTAAAGTTCTGTGACACTTTTGGAGAAGGGGGGGGGAGGGCTGGCTTTGTCTCTCTCTTTTCACCCTTTCCTAGGTGCTGAGTGGGTTAGAAGGTAACTAAAACCAGTATACAACCGTTTTTAACCACATTGATTTTTTTTTAAAAAAAAAATTAAATTATAAACCGAAACGGAGTTTGCCAATTTTGGAGGAAGCCTCTAAAAATATGGATTTTTTGTTTTTTTTTAAAAAACTGGCTTCACGTGAAAGGCCCTAGGATGGAAGAGACTTAATCAACTTCTAAAACTGGATTTGCAAGCTGTCGTAGACTCCATTGTGGAAAGAAAAGAAAAAAAAACCCACTCTGCACATGCTCAGGGGACAGTGGCTTTTGTGAAAAACTCAAAAAAGTCAGAAATGGCAAAGAAGGGCTAGGTGGGGAGGCTTCAAATGGGCGGAATATAATAGCAATAGGATCCGTAAAAAAGAGTCCGGATTACTACTAGCTTTTTATCCCCCTCCATTTGTGTGGTTGTGTGTGTGTGTTGTGTACAGCACAGTAATTTCAATTTGCCTCATTCTGGGCTGGACTTCCTGTTTTTGGGGGCTTGGATGCCTCATTTCTTGCACAGCAACTTCCTTCCCATCTGTATTTTGGGCTTCTGAAAAGAGGCTGTTTTTTAGCAGCTCCGGGAAATCAAACAGTTAGTCCTCGACTTACGACCACAATTGAACCCAACATTTCCATCGCTAAGGGAGACGGTTGTGAAGTGAGCGCTGCTCCCCTTTGCAATGGTGGTTAAGTGAATCGCAGCAGTTGTTAAACTAGTAACTTGGTCGTTAAGCGAATCTGACTTTTCCCACTGACTTTGCGGTCAGATGGTCGCCAAAGGGGATCACATCACACACACACACACACACACACGGGGGACGCTGCAACAGTCACAAGTGCCTGCCAGTTGCCAAGCATCTGAATTTTGATTACATGTCAAATGGGGACGCTGCGACGGTCGTAAGCGTGAAAAGGGGTCAGAAGTTGCTTTTTTCAGTGCTTCGAATGATTGTTAAGTTGGCCTGTCACTTTGACGTAAATTGACATTGAGTGAAAAAAGTCAGGTTCTACATTTAGGCAAGAACAACCAAATGCACAGGTAAAGTATAGGGGGTACCTTGCTCAATAGTAGTAACTGTGAGAGAAGGACGAGGGGGGACATGATAGCAGCCTTCTAGTATCTCAGGGGCTACCCCAAAGAAGAGGGAGTCAAGCTATTCTCCAAAGCACCCGAAGGCAGGACAAGAAAGCAACGGTGGAAACTAATCAAGGAGAGAAGCAACCTAGAACTAAGGAGAAACTTCTTGACAGTTAGAATAATTAACCAGTGGAACAACCTGCCTCCAGAAGCAGTGAATGCTCCAACACTGGAAGTTTTTAAGAAGAGACTGGACAGCCATTTGTCTGAAATGGTGTAGGGTTTCCTGCCTGAGCAGGGGGTTGGACTCCATGACCTCCAAGGTCCCTTCCAACTTTATTATTGTTATTATTAATACAGCAGCTGAAGCCAGATTCCAGAAATAAGTTGGGTTAATCATTGGGGTAAACCAGCATTCTCTGGTTTGAGAAATCCCCCTCCTTCCTTCCTTCCTTCCTTCCTTCCTTCCTTCCTTCCTTCCTTCCAGGTGTCTTTTCCATCCCCCCTTCCTTTTTGCTTTTCCCTCCTTCCATTTCTTTTAGCTCTTTTGCTGTTCTTCCTTCTTTTTCTCCACTTTTCCTTCCTTCTTCCATTTTTTCTTTTATCCCTTTTCTTCCTTCCTTCCTTCCATGTCACTTTTTTCCTTCCTCCCTCCTTTCCTTTTTTCCTTCCTTTTTTAAAATTCCGTTCATTCTTCTTTTATTCCATCCCTCTCTTCCTTCATCCCTGTTATGTGCTCCTGGCCACTTTCCTTCGTGACCAGAGGCCAGCTCGCCTGACCAATAACCAGCCAAGGCACAGTGAAGGTCTTTTTGTTTTGTTTATTGCAATAAGCGGAAGAGAAGCTATCAAAGCTTGGTTCTCTCCAAAGTTTTAACCCAAAATATCTCCTTCTTTATACATCCCTGTCCCAGCCGCCACATCCCTCCTCTTTCACCCACTGGCCGAGGTACTCTGAGATGACACTCTTTCCGTCCGCTTCTTACATATTTCCTGCTACGTACTAAATCATATTCGTTTTCTGAGGTTTTCGCGGGTGTTTGTATGTAGGTCTTTGGTTCCTAGAAGCACGAAGCCGAAAACACCAACGTGATGGGTAGAGGAAGCAAATATATATATTGCTCCTAGAAGCATGAAGCCGAAAACACCAGCCTGAAGATGACGAATGGGACTTCGTCGAAACGTCGCCAAGACTCTTCCAATTTGATGCGGGAGAAAACCCGAATCACCAAAGACCTCAATCATATTCACATATACAATTATAATAAGAAAAATTAGATCTTTAAATGGTTATTGTAAACTCTGTAGATATTTATGTCCCCATTTTAAAACAATAGGTTCTTTTCCTGCTTTTCAGTTCAGTGTGCCTTTCCTCTTATCTTATTCAGCTTAGTTTCCTGTTCTCCAATTCAACCTGTCTTTCCTGGCTAGCCAGTTCCTTTGACAGCTATATATATATATTTTTATGGCTTCTTTTCCTCCTTTTCCCACTCTTAAGAGTCAACGATTTTTGCCTACGTGTTTATCTTACTTCCTTTATGTTATCTTTCCCTGACTCTTACCAATTGTACTTATTCTTCTATTCAATTAATTTCCGTTGTATTGTAGGTTTAACTGACTCTGAAGATTTATCATATTGATGCATACGTATCAATCCCCCTCCCCATTTTTCTAATCTTTCTTCCTTCCTTCTATGTCCCCCTTTTCCATCCCACCTTCCTTTTTTGTTTTCCTCCCCTTCGTTTCTTCTTTTATCTCTTTTCTTCCTTCCTTCTACCTCTTTTCCTTCCTTCCATTCCATTTTTTATCACTTTTCTTCCTTCTCTCTGCTGTAAGCCACTTTTTTCTTCCCTCCCTCCCTCCCTCCCTTTTCCTTTTTTCTTCCTTTTTTCTGTTCATTCCTTCCATTTTTCATTTCCTTCCTCCCTCCCTCCTTCTCTCCTCCCTTCTTCTTTTTCCTTTGTTCTCTCCCTCCTTTTTCTTCCTTCTCCCGTCTTCCTTTTCCTTCCTCTCCTTCCTTTTCTTTCTTTCCATTTTCCTTTTTTCCTTTTTCCTTCCCTTCCTTCCTCCTCTCCTTTCCTTCTTCCCTCCCTCCTTCTCTCATCCTTTCCTCCCTCCCTTCCTTCGCTCCCTCATTATCATCTCTCCCTTTTCCTTCCTTCTCACTACCATCCCTCCATTTTCCTTCCTTCCTTCCTTCCTTCCTATTTTTTCTTTTATCACTTTTCTTTCTTCTCTCTGCTGTATGTCACTTTTTTCTTTCCTCCCTCCCTCCCTCCCTTTTCCTTTTTTCCTTCCTTTTTTCTGTTCATTCCTTCCATTTTTCATTTCCTTCCTCCCTCCCTCCTTTCTCTCCCTTCTTCCTTTTCCTTCCTCTCCTTCCTTCCCTTTCTTTCTTTCTTTTTTCCTTTTTCCTTCCCTTCCTCCTCTCCTTCCCTCCCTCCCTTCCCTCCTTCATTATCATCTCTCCCTTTTCCTTCCTTCTCACTCATCCCTTTCTTTTCCTTCCTTCTTTCCCTTCCCTCTCGCCCTCCCTCTCTTCTCTTCCCTCCCTCCCTCTTGCCCTCCCTCTTTTTCCTTTCTTTCTTCCTTCCTTCCCTCTCTCTCCTTCCTTCCCTCCCTCCCCTTCCTTCCTTCCCTCTCTTTCCTTCCTTCCTTCCTTCCTTCCTTCCTTCCTTCCTTCCTTCCCAGGGGAGGCGCGGAGTTCGAGCAGGAACTCCTTCAGGGAAGCGACGGGCAACCTCCTCAGCGGGACTCACTCCTTCCCCCCGCCCCCTCCCAGGGCCCCGGCGAGATCGCGGCCGGAACTCTCGCGGTGCTCACCGGCTCCTTCGCCAGGCTGCAGCCCTCGCCTGGCCCACCAGAGGGCGCCCGCTCCCCCTCCTCCTCCCCCGCCCCCTCCCTCCCACCCAGTCCCGGAGTTGCGCCCTGCAGGCGCGCAAGCGGAGCAGAAGCCGGACTCGGTCGGTGCGTTGCAGGCGGAACTGCGCGGAATCCAAAGGAGGCTCGCACGGGGGCCCCCGGCCTACCATGCAAAGAGGGCTGCTCTCCGCCCGTCAGGCTTGGAGTCGCTTTAGGACGATGAACAGCAGCAGCAGCGGCGGCGCCACGGTCGGCCGCTCCCTGGCCGAGAAAGTGGCCCTGGTGACGGCCTCGACCGATGGGTAAGCCCCGGTGGAGGGGGGGAGCTTTGCACCGCTTTGGGACTGCAACTCCCAGAATGCCCCGGGTGGCCTGCGACCCCCTGTTCTAAGTGTCGCCTGCGACTGTTCTAGGGAATGCTGGGAGTTGTAGTCCCCGCAGATCTGGGGGGGAGGAGGAGGCCAGGCGCCCAATGGAAGAGATGGCCAGCTTGAAAAGAGCTACTCCTGTGAGGGGGGGGGGGGGTTGGAAGCACTTTGCACTCCCCCAGAGGCACTCTTGCGTATTTCGCCAAAGCACCCAATGGAAGAGATGGCCGGCTTGGGAAGAGCTACTCCTGGGGGGGGGTTTTGGAAGCACTTTGCACTCCCCCAGAGGCACTCTTGCGTATTTCGCCAAAGCACCCAATGGAAGAGATGGCCGGCTTGGGAAGAGCTACTCCTGGGGGGGGGGGGGTTGGAAGCACTTTGCACTCCCCCAGAGGCACTCTTGTGTATTTCGCCAAGGCACCCAATGGAAGAGATGGCCGGCTTGGGAAGAGCTACTCCTGGGGGGGGGTGGTTGGAAGCACTTTGCACTCCCCCAGGGGCACTCTTGTGCACTCAGCCTAGTGTTCGCTTCCCAGGCCTTGCTTTGGAAGGGGTTGTGTAACTGGGATCAAAAGAAAATTGTTGGAGCCAAACCACGATTGCTCTCTCTCTTGTGTAATCAGCGCTTGCCTCAGGGACAGATTTCATGCAAGCATGGGAAAACATGTACACGGGTGGGAATTCCGGGAGGAGGGAATATAAGGGAGTGTACAGGGATGGTGGGTGTCTTCCTTGGGATGGAATGGCTCTGTTGTCTGATTGGCTAACGAAGTTTAGAAACCAATGCTAGCACTTTCTACGGCAGGGGTCTTCAAACTTGGCCCTGTGATGATTTGTGGACTTCAACTCCCAGAATACCTCAGCCAGGCACGCCTGGCTGAGGAATTCTGGAAGTCGAAGTCTACAAGTCATCAAAGGCCAAGTTCGAAGACCTCCTACTTGTGGATTTCAACTCCCAGAATTCCTCAGCCAGATACGCTGGCTGAGGAATTCTGGGAATTGAAGTCCACAAGTCATCAAAGGGCCAAGTTTGAAGACCTCCTGCTTGTGGACTTCAACTCCCAGAATTCCTCAGGCAGGCACTCCTGGCTGAGGAATTCTGGGAATTGAAGTCCACAAGTCATCAAAGGGCCAAGGTCGAAGACCCCTGTCTTAAATCTAACAAACAAAATGGAGGCTGGCTGAGGTATTCTGGGAGTTGAAGTCCCCAAGTCATAAAAGGGCCAAGTTTGAAGACCCCTGTCTTAAATCTAACAAACAAAATGGAGGCTGGCTGAGGAATTCTGGGAATTGAAGTCCACAAGTCATCAAAGGGCCAAGGTTGAAGACCCCCTGTTCTAAGGGGTGGCACTTCTGGGCCTAACTCTGCCAGCCTTCCAGGTTGTTTGCCACCCAGCTGTTTTACTTCACCAATTAAAGCCGTGTTTCCTCAGAAAGCCTCCGTTTGACTTGCCTGGTTAGACTTTTAATGGCATCTCCAATTTACGTAAGGGCCTGGGACCTTACATTTCAAATTAAACCTTGGGGTGCCCTTTCAAAAGAGACAATGGGGCAATTCTTACGCTCTGCTGAAAATGTGACTCTGTGTGTGTGTGTGTGTGTGTGTGTGTGTGTGTGTTCCCTCCCTGCTTTTCCTTCCTTCTTTCCTTCCTTTCTCCCTTCCCTGCTCCTTCCTTATCCTCTCCCTCCTCCCTCCTTTCTTCCATCCCTCCTTCCTTCTTTTCCTTCCTTCCTTCCTCTTCCTTCCCTGCTTCTTCCTTATCCTTCCTTCTCTCCCTCCCTTCATCCTTTCTTCCATCCTTCCTTCCTTTTCCTTCCTTCCTCTTCCTTCTCTGCTTCTTCCTTATCCTTCTTTCCTTCTCTCCCTCCCTCCCTCCTTTCTTCCATCCATCCTTCCTTCCCTCCTTTTTTTCCTTCCTTCCTTCCTCTTCCTTCTCTGCTTCTTCCTTATCTTTCCTTCCTTCTCCTCCCTCCCTCCTTTCTTTCATCCCTCCTTCCTTCCTTCCTCTTCCTTCCCTGCTTCTTCCTTATCCTTCCTTCCTTTTCTCCCTCCCTCCCTCCTTTCTTCCATCTTTCTTTCCTTCCTTCCTTCCTCTTCTCTGCTTCTTCCTTATCCTTTCTTCCTTTTCTCCCTCCTTTCTTCCATCTTTCCTTCCTTTTCCTTCCTTCCTTCCTCTTTTCTGCTTCTTCCTTATCCTTCCTTCCTTCTCTTCCTCCCTCCCTCCCTCCTTCCATCCATCCTTCCTTCCCTCCTTCTTTTCCTTCCTTCCTTCCTCTCCCTCTCGCCCTCCATCTCTTCTCTTCCCTCCCTCTTGCCTTCCATCCCTTCCTTCCTTCCTTCCTTCCTTCACTATTTTCTTTGACTGATTAAAGGGATCGACCCAATTTGCTCCTTTTAAATAAATTATTTTGGAGTCCTTTGCAGACCCGCCAAGGTCCACACAGGAATTTGGAATTTGGAAGAGGCAAACATTGAGAATGAATAGTTGATGTTTTAACAGAAAGAAGCCTTTGGACCTTGGCACAAATGTCTCTGATTGATTGGGGTATAAAATCTAAATTCAGAATGATAAGATTTGCTTTGGAGGAAACATGGATATATTATCTATTATCTTTCATGATATTTTAGTGTTTCGCAACCTTGGCAGCTTTAAGAACTGTGGTCTTAAATTCCCATAGTTGATTCTTTCTTTCTTTCTTTCTTTCTTTCTTTCTTTCTTTCTTTCTTTCTTTCTTTCTTTCTTTCTTTCTTTCTTTCTTTCTTTCTTTCTCTCTCTCTCTCTCTCTTCCTTTCTTCCCTTTCCTTCTTTCCTTTTCCTTCCTTCCTTTCTTCCTTCCCTTTCCTTCTTCCCTTTCCTTCTTTCGTTCTTTTTCCTTCCTTGCTTGCTTCTTTCCCTCCTTCCCTTTCGTTCTTCCCTTTCTTCTCTCTCTCTCTTTCTTCCTTCCTTCCCTTTCCTTCTTTCCTTTTCCTTCCTTCCTTCCCTTTCCTTCTTCCTTCCTCCTTTTCTTCTTTCTTTCTTTTCTTTCTTTCTTTCCCTTCCTTCCTTCCTTCTCTCCTTCCCTTTCGTTTTTCCCTTTCTTTTCTCTCTCTCTCTCTCTCTCTTCTTTCTTTCTTTTTTTTCTCTTTCTCTCTTTTTGTTTATCCCACCTTTGTTATTTTATACGTAACACAGCAGTGAGTTTCTTTCCAGTTTCTTCCTGGAAGCATGGATCAAACATGCACATTACCTGCAACTTAATGAATTTCTAATTTTGTATGCATTTAGAAGAACCTGTTTTTCACCTAATTAAATTGAAGACATGTTCTATTTACATGATGGCAGACTCTGAACAAAACCTTCCTTTTTCAGGCTCCTTCAGCCAAGACTTGCCTTCAAACCTTCCAGTCCTTTTTTTCCTTTGTAGCCTCCCATATTTTTTGAATAAATCCCACTTCAGGCTACGTTTTTGAAATGCCTGAAAAATCACATCATTTCACAACGGTGTAGTTTTCGATACTAGCCAGGTGTGGAAGTTGTCGATCTGGCTGATCTGGATTCTCAGGGATCTAATTTCAGACCTGAATAGCTGAAATGAAGGTGTATACCGTATACAGGTAGTCCTCACTTAATGGCGGTCATAACTTCAAACAGTTGTTAAGTGAGGATTACCTGAAAGTATATATACCTTCAGTATATCCCTGAGGCAGACTCAGAAAAAGTTACTTGCGACTCCTCCTCAAAATTACAATGGCTACACACACACACACACACACACACAAATTGGATTTCGGGCTCACATTTACAACCAGTCGCAGCATCCCATGGTCACGTGACCCACAATTTGCTCCTGATTTTGACCCTTTTCTGACAGAAAAATGGCAAAAAAAAGGCACCCACATGATAGACTGGATTCACTCAACGGCCACGTGGTTCGCATAACGATTGAGCGGTTCACTTAGAGACCGTTGTAAAAAAAAACAAAACAGTTGTCAAATCGAAACAGGTCCTCTGGGGACCCACTTAACGACCGCAATGACTTATGAGGAAAATTCCGGTCTCGATGGTTATAAATTGAGGACTAGCCGCATGGTGTGGCTTCGTTAAGTCTCAGTTTCTAATCTGTTTGTCTGGTTGTAAAAAAAAATATATGGCAAAACAGAAACCTGTTTTTCAGCTCTGTGAGGCAATTCTGCCTGACCTCAAAAATTATTGAAATTTGGACTCGTTCAGAAGGGAGCCAGAGTCACGTTTGAGGATTTTTTTTAAAATACTGATATATCTTCCAATTTTAGAAATTTTTATAGTGTTTTCACATGTTTTCTAACTTAGAACACCAGAAAACTATTTCAGGTGGCCCTTGACTTACAACTATTCATTTAGTGACCGTTCAGAGTTACAACAGCACTGAAGAAGTGACTCGCGATACGTTTTTGCATTTAACGACCGTCCCGACATCTCTCTGGTCACATGATCGAAATTCAGACTCGTATTTATGACCATTGTGACGTTCCGGAGTCAGGTGATCCCCTTTTGCGACCTTCCGACAAGCAAAGTCAATGGGAAAAGTCAGATTCACTTGACAGCCGTGTGACTAACTGAACGATTGCAGTGATTCACTTAATGACCGTGGCAACACAGGTCATCAAAGGGGGGCAAATCTCACTTTGTAACCGTCCTGCTTAGCAACGGAAGTTTTGGTCATCGAGAATTGCACGAAGGAGACTCGCTTGCCGGATAAATCCCATTGTTGCATTTTCTCTCTTGGCAGAATCGGCCTGGCCATCGCACGCCGGCTGGCCCAAGACGGGGCTCATGTACTGGTGAGTAGCCGCAAGCAGGCCAACGTGGACCGAACGGTGGCCGAATTGCAGGCCGAGAATCTCAGCGTGTCGGGCTTGGTGTGCCATGTGGGGAAGGCTGAAGACCGGCGGCGCCTAGTGGATGCGGTAAGAGCCCCCCCGTTCCGTGGCGCATCTTGCCCCATTGGGTCATGACACATAGAGGAGAGGAGAGGAAAGAATAAGAAATAAGAATAGAATTGAATTAGAAATAGTATAGAATTAGAAATAAGAATAGAATTAGAAATAAGAATAGAATTAGAATTAGAATAGAATAGAATAGAATAGAAGGAATGGAATCTAGAATAAAGAGATAAAAAGGATGGGATGGAATAGAATAGAATAGAACAACAACAGAATAGGATAGGATAGGATAGAATAGAATAGAATAGAATAGAATAGAATAGAATAGAATAGAATAGAATAGAATAGAATAGAATAGAATAGAATCCAACTAAAAGGAATGGAATATAGAATAAAGAGATAAAAAAGATGGGATGGGATGGGGTAGGATAGAATAGAATAGAATCCAACTAAAAGGAATAGAATATAGAATAAAGAGATAAAAAGGATGGGATGGGGTGGGGTGGGGTGGGGTAGAATAGAATAGAATAGAATAGAACAGAATAGAATAGAATAGAATAGAATAGAATAGAATAGAACAGAACAGAACAGAACAGAACAGAACAGAGAATAAACCAGCTAAAGGGAATGGAATAGAATGGAATACAGAATAAAGAGAATAAAAAGGATGGGACGGAACGGAATGGAACAGAACAGAATAGAGAATAAACTGACTAAAAGGAATGGAAGAGAATGGAATATAGCAGTGTTTCTCAACCTTGCTGGCTGTGGAATTCTGGGAGTTGAAGTCCACATTCCTTAAAATTCAAGGTTGAGAAACACTGGAATATAGAATAAAGAGAATAAAAAGGATGGGATGGAGTGGAGTGGAATGGAATGGAATAGAATAGAGAATAAACTGACTAAAAGGAATGGAATGGAATGGAACACAGAACAAAGAGAATACAAAGAAAAGAATAGTTTTTAAAATGATGGTGTTTAATTCCCAGCTCTTATTCTTAGGCCGTTGAGCGCTACGGGGGAATTGATATTTTGGTGAGCAATGCCGCCGTGAACCCTTTCGTCGGAAATATTTTGGACGCCTCCGAGGAAGTCTGGGACAAGGTGAGAGTTTGCAGAAGGGGACCACAGGAGAAAAAAAGAGATGGGTTTTGTAGTCCGAAGGGTGCACCCTAGGAGAAACTTAATGTGTCTCTTCCCCTCCCCCCTTGTTGGAGGAATCGCCACTCAGACCCGGCCGATCCGATGGAAAGGCCAAATGTCCCCAAATGTTCCCCAGTTGGGTACAAAAACAGTTGGGTACAAAAAAAAACCCCTTGCTTTTTCCGCTTGGTAAGCAGTCCTCGTTTAGCGACCGTTTGGACCGATTCTCCCCTCCCCCCAGAAAACGAGTTACAATCTGGTTCCAGAATTCTGACAGCGTTGACTCGCTTTGTGATTGCTGCACTGGCTTTTACGACTCCCCTGTTCACTTTATGTGCTTTGGTTTATGACCGGGGTGATTGCTTTACAGAGAAAAAGGTGGGTTAGCAAAATCAACTGGGCGTCTCGTCTTAGCGGCCGTAATGACGTATGACAGAAATTCCTGCAGGTACCAGTGTTACCCCGAAAATAAGACCGGGTCTTATTATTATTATTTGCCTCCAAAAGAGGCACCAGGTCTTATTTTCGGGGTAGGCCTTACCTCACCCCTGACACTGACAGCCCCACCCAGCTGGTCCACTTCTTCTGGGGCCGAAGTTCTGCAGCTGTATTTGGGCCTGGGTCTTGCAGTCAGGCCTTTCCAGGAGGCCTAAGCAGCCGAGGCCCGAGCTATGGATTCAATCCATGGCTTGGTGCTCGGCTGCAGAGATCTTGCAGAACTGAGCTACGGATTGAACCCATAACTCGGTTCGTGCCTACAGAGGCCTTCCGGAAAGGCCCGTGACTGAGAAATGCAGGCCTGGCTGAAGAAGAGGCCTTAGAAGAAGAAGTGGGCCGGCGAGGAGAGGCCTGGTCACCAGGTAAATGGGTGCAGGCCACACACATCCATCCCTGCCCTAGCTTGGGCTTATTTTTGTGGTAGGGCTTATATTAGGCCCACCGCCAAAAATCAAGCTAGGGCTTATTGTTGGTGTAGGCCAGGGGTCTTCAAACTTGGCCCTTTTATGACTTGTGTGCCTGGCTGAGGATTTCTGGGAGTTGATGTCCACAAACGGGGTCTTCCAACTTGGCCCTTTTATGACTTGTGGACTTCAACTCCCAGAATTCCTTAACCAGCATGCCTGGTTGAGGAATTCTGGGAGTTGAAGTCCATAAGCCAGGGTCTTCAAACTTGGCCTTTTTATGTCTTGTGGGCTTCAACTCCCAGAATTCCTTAGCCAGCATGCCTGGTTGAGGAATTCTGGGAGTTGAAGTCCACAAGCAGGCGTCTTCAAACTTGGCCCTTTTATGACTCGAGGGCTTCAACTCCCAGAATTCCTCAGCCAGCGTGAGGGAACTATGACCATTTTATGTGGACTTCAACTCCCAGAATTCCTCAGCCAGTGTGCCTGGCTAAGGAATTCTGGGAGTTGAAGTCCACAAGTCAATCAAAGGGTCACGTTTGAAGACCCCTGGTGTAGGCCTTACTTTCAGGGAAACACGGTATTAAGGTCGTAAGTCGAGTCCTGTGTGTATTTTTTTTTTTTTTTTTAATTTTAGGTATTGGATATCAACATAAAGGCAACAGCATTGCTGGCCAGTCTGGTGGTTCCTCACATGCAGAAGAGGGGGTGAGTATGCCATGACATTAATCGTGACATTAATCTTGTTTCCTCTTAATTTGTATACAGGCAGTCCCCGTTCATTTAGTGACCATTTGAAGTTACGACAGCACTGAAAAAAGTGACCTGTGACCGTTTTTCACACTGACGGTCCTTGCAACATTCCCCTCCCCCGGTCACGGGATCAAAATTCAGGCGCTTGCCGACTCATGTTTGTGATGGTTGCCGTGTCCCTTTTCCGTCCTTCTGCCGAGCAAAGTCAGTGGGAAAAATCTGGTGGTTAACCAGATTCGCTTAACAACGTGACTTAAGAACTGCAAGCGCGTCACTTAACTGTGGCAAGAAAGGTCGTTAAAAAGGGAGCACAACTCACTTAACAACTGTCTCGCTTAGCAACAGAAAGTTTGGACTCAATTGTCATAAGTCGAGGACTTCCTGCACAGTTCTGTCTTTCAGTTTAAAGCAGGAGGAAAAAAATTCACTCAATGCAAATATATAGTTTGCTTATAATCTGGTCTCATTTGGCCTGGAAAATATTGCTTTTTCCCCCCTTTCTTTTTCTCTTTGTCCATTTTCTGATCAGCCTTGACTACCTCTCCTGGTGTCTCTTTTCTTTCTCGTGACAACCATTTCGAGTTTCTAGTCCTCGTTGTGAATTTCGCCAGCCCTTTGAAAGTTGCTCTGTCTTAAGTCCTCTTCTGTTCTCTGAAGTTGCTATAAAGAAAAAGTAAGACCCTAATTCTGATAAATCCCTGGCCTTTATGAAAGGGGGGGGGATCCTTTTTGAAAAGAGGTAGATTTCACACTCAAGCCTGCATGCATGAGAAACGCAACAAATTCTTGGTTGTCCTGCCCCCAGGATCTCAAAAAAAGAAAGAAAGAAAGAAAAAGAAAGAAAGAAAGCTATTTCCTTGCTTCAGAATATTATTTCATTTCACATTTAGGTTCTTAAAAGCTTCTTTTCAGTAGATTGGGGAGATATTCCAGAATCCTAATTATTGTTCACAACAGCCCTGTGAGGTAGGTTGGGAGAGGAATGGTAGTGATTAATTCCAGGTGAATAAAGGAATATGAGAGGGGAAGCAAAAGGGGGGGAAAATAATGTTTCTGCCTCTTTGGTTTGTTCCAGAAGTGGCTCCATCGTGATTGTGTCATCTGTTGCTGGATATCTGCCGCTTCCAGTGAGTTGAGCTCTGAAGATGGCATAAAGCAGGGGTAGGCAACCTTGGCTCGTTTATGACTCGTGGACTTCAACTCCCAGAATTCCTGAGCCAGCTGAGTCATAAAAGTCATAAAAGAGCCAAGGTTGCCTACCCCTGGCATAAACGAATTAGATATAAATAAGATAGATTGATAGATACATACAGATACATAGATACATGTATAGATGGATATATAAGAGAGATAGACAGAGAGGGATGGATGATAAAGATGGACAGAGAAAGATTGATGATAGATTGACAGACAGATATGATAATAGTTGACGGACGGATGAATAGATAAGAGATAGAGAAGATAGATATAGAGAAGACAGACACAATAGATAAATAGACAGATAAACATGGATGGATGGATGATAAAGATGGATGGATAGAGATTGATAGATTGACAGATATAGGTAAGATATAATTGGCAGACGGATGAATAGATGATAGATACAGAAGATAGATATAAATAGATAAGATAGAGAAAGGGGGAGGCAGATAGACAGAGAGACACATAAATAGAAAGGGATGGATGATATGGATGGATGATAGGTAGAAAGAGACAGACAGATAAATAGAAAGGGAAGGATGATATGGATGGATGATAGGTAGAGAGAAAGAGAGACAGATAGATAAATAGAAAGGGATGGATGATATGGATGGATGATAGGTAGAGAGAAAGAGACAGACACACAGATAAATAGAAAGGAATGGATGATATGGATGGATGATAAATAGGGAGAGAGAGAGAAAGGGATGGATGATAGGTAGGTAGGTAGGTAGGTAGGTAGGTAGGTAGGTAGGTAGGTAGGTAGGTAGGGAGAGACAGACAGACACACACAGACAGACAAATAGAAAAGGTTGGATGATAAATAGGGAGGGAGGGAGAGAGAGAGAGACCGACTGACAGACAAATAGAAAGGGATGGATGAAATGGATGGATGATAAATAGGTAGATAGGTAGAGAGACAGACAGACAGACAGACAGACAGACACAGATAAATGGAAAAGGATGGATGAAATGGATGATAAATAGGTAGAGAGAGAGACAGACAGACAGACACAGATAAATAGAAAGGGATGGATGATATGGATGGATGATAGGTAGATAGACAGACAGACAGATCTGGGGAGGTGGGACGAGGGACGTAAAAAAAAAAAAGCCCAAATGCCTCTCGGAGGTACTCCTAAATTCTGCTTCCTTCGCCTCTTCTCTGCTAGAGCTTAGGGCCTTACAACGTCAGCAAGACAGCTCTCCTGGGCTTGACCCGCAACCTGGCCATCGAACTGGCCCAACACAACATCCGTGTCAACTGTCTGGCGCCCGGCCTGATCCGCACGAAATTCAGCTCGGTTGTGAGTATCTTTAGGCAGAAAACAGATTGTAGAGCAGTGTTTTCCCATCCTTGACCAGTTTAAGACAGGTGGACTTCAACTCCCAGAATTCCCCAGCCAGCACAGCTGGCTGAGGAATTCTGGGTCCACCAGTCCTAAAAGGGCCAAGTTTGAAGACCCCTCAGTTAGAGGAACATATGAAAACATGTTAATTAATGTAGACTTTATTAGTTTAGAGCAGGGGTAGGCAACCTTGGCTCTTGTATGACTCGTGGACTTCAACTCCCAGAATTCCTGAGCCAGCATGGCTCAGCTTGGAAACCTCTCCCATTTTCCCTCAGCATGGCTGGCTCAGGAATTCTGGGAGTTGAAGTCCACCAGTCATAAAAGAGCCAAAATGGCCTACCCCTGCTCTAGGACAAGATGCTCTAGAATGATTAATTAGAAAAGAAGCTGAATAACGAGGTGGAGGTTATTTGTAGATTATTTAATTTTTATCTTCTAAAATGTACTAATTTAAAGTTGACAAAAGAGAATATTATTGGAAGAAGAGAAAAATCGAGGAAAGCTGCTATGTGGAATATGGGACTATAGAAATCAATTGTTATTGATTATTTGTAAATACAAACCCAGACAACACCCTGTTTATCAAATATTGATGGGGATATGTAAAAAAAAAACCCAATAAAATATATTTTAAAAAAGAAAGAAAATCAACTCACACCTGTTTTTTCCTCTAAAGTTTTGGCAGGATGAAAATGCAAAACAGGTCATACTGGAAACCTTGCGGATAAAGAGGTAACTTGGGATAAATCAGAGTTTTGCAGTAAAACAAAGGGCTCATTGATCTGATTTTTATAAACTTCTTGCAAATTTCAGCTGTTCTTTTTTTTGAGGGGATGCGACACCTCACAACTGACAGCCTCCCCCCATTTTGGCAAAGGGGGGGGGGGAAACGCCACAGCTAGCTATTCATTTTTTAAATTTATTTTATTTTAATTCTTTTGTTTAGGCGTACAATGACGTAATAATTCAATTCAATTGACACTGAGGGTTAAAGTACAATTTAATTTTAAGTTGTTTTACCGCTACATTTTAATGAGGTTGTGATGGCATTTAACTTGAATTTATAATGATACTTTTCATGCCCTTAGAATTTTCCTAATTCCACTGATATTTATAATTGAATTACAATTTAATTTAGCTGACGCTTACAATTGTGTGCATATTTCAGAGTACATTGTATATGTTCGTTTAACGTAAATTTATAATTATATTTCTGCTTCTAACATAAGTTCATGTCACTCACATTTATAATTATATTCATGTTGTTAACCTCATAATTTAACATATATGTGCTGACATAATTTGATTTAACATATATTTCTAATTATATTGATACTTACAATTAATACATAAGTTAATTTTATATATATATATATATATATATATATATATATATACACACACACACGCACACACAATATATATACAAGTAGTTCTTGACCTACAACCACAAATGAGCCCAAAGTTTCTGTTGCGAAGTGAGATATTTGTTAAGTGATTTTTGCCCAATTGTATGACTTTCCTTGCCACAGTTGTTTAGTGCAGTGTTTCCCAAACTTGACAATTTTAAGGCATGCAGACTTCAACTCCCAGAATTCCACAGCCAGCAATGCTAGCTGTGGAATTCTGGGGAGTTGAAGTCCACATGCCTTAAAATTGTCAAGTTTGGGAAACACTGGTTTAGTGAATCCCTGCAGTTGTTAAGTTAGTAACACAGTTGTTGTCAGAAGGTCTCAAAAGGGGATCGTGTGACCCCGGGACACTGCGACCGTCATAAATACGAGTCGGGTGCCAAGCATCTGAATTTTGATCACATGATCACGGGGAAGCCACAACCGTACTTAAATGTGAAAAACGGTCCTAAGACACATGTCATCATCTCAGCGATGATGTAACTTCAAACAGTCACTAAATGAAATGTTGTAAGTCAAGGATTATATCTATCCGTCTAATAGCTAGCTAGCTAGCTAGCTACTTTATCTATCTACTTTATCTACTCTATCTACCTATCTACTTTGTCTATTTATCTACTTTATCTATCTAGCTAGATAGCTAGCTAGCTAGATAGATAGATAGATATTTTATCTATTTACTTTATCTACTTTATCTATTTACTTTATCTACTTTGTCTATTTATCTACTTTATCTACTACAGATAGCTGTTTTATCTACTTTATCTTTTATCTATCTACTCTATCTACTTTATCTGCTTTGTCTATCTACTTTTTCTACTTTATCTATTTATCTACTCTATCTATCTATCTATCTATATGAAAGTCTACAATATTTTTCTACAAACGAGAAATTTATATATAGGTGTGTATGTGTATATAGGTGTGTGCATGTGTGTGTAAATATATGTGTGTATGTGTGTGTGTGTATGTGTGTGTGTGTGTGTGTTCTGAGGTTTTCGCAGGTGTTTGTATGTAGGTCTTTGGTTATTCGGGTTTTCTCCCGCGTAAAATTGGAAGTGTCTTGGCGACATTTCGACAAAGTCCCATTCGTCATCTTCAGGCTGGTATTTTCAGCTTCGTGCTGAAAACACCTCGAAGCACGAAGCTGAAAACACCAGCCTGAAGATGACGAATAGGACTTCGTCGAAACGTCGCCAAGACACTTCCAATTTTACGCGGGAGAAAACCCGAACAACCAGAGACCTACATAGATAGATAGATAGATAGATAGATAGATAGATAGATAGATAGATAGATAGATAGATAGATAGACACACACACACACACACACACACACACACACACACATGCACACATACATATAAACATACACATATATTTACATACATACACATATATTTACACACACACATACACACACACATAAACTGAGGAATTCTGGGAGTTGAAGTCCACAAGTCATCAAACGGCTAAGTTTGAAGACCCCTGTTCTGGATAAAGATAAAAAAATCCAATCTTGGGGTCTACTAAAGGTCCACTAACCAGATCTCCCTTCTCTCCTCCCCCCCCCCCCAGACTCGGAGTCCCATCGGATTGTTCCGGCATCGTCTCTTTCCTTTGCTCCGCCGATGCCGACTATATCACCGGGGAGACGGTGGTGGTGGATGGTGGCGCCCTATCTCATCTTTGACGAGGAAATAGTGGTGGCTTCCAGTTCAGCTAGGTCGATGGATAGATAATCACATGAGGGTACCCTGGAAATTAATTGTGGGAATGATTGGGGGGGATAATTAGGAATCTCAGCAGCTCCCAGCTAGGATGGTGATTGGATCAGCTTCAAGAGAGAGGGAGGTCAACAGTCTTAAGAAGCACCAAAAATGGAGCTTCTGCTAACCAGGTTAGAGGTGTTGTATGTGTGTGTGTCCTGTTGGATTTCGGGTGGAAAACACAAGGAGCAGAATTGCACACGGCTGAGGTTTAGGAATCCCCGTGCAGACATGCGCGCGCAAGGAGACCCCGTGTGTACAAGCCCGCTCCGAGCTGTATTGAGGGAAAAGGTGACTAGGTTGATCCTGGCTTGTTTAACTTCATTCCTCTTGGAGGTTGGAGGGGGAAGGGGGGGTTCCCTAATGCTTCCTGGGATATTAGGGGAGGGTCTTTCCAGGGTGGGGGTCTTCTTGGGGAAAAATTAGCTTGGAGATGGGGGGGAACAGCCAGAATCTGGGTTTACAAATATCGCTGGTGTTCATTCCTGGCTTTGCCTCAGTGCCTTGTGTGTAATAATTAAAATAAAGACATTTTTGGAATCACATTTTTGTCATTGTCTGTTGCTCTCTTTGGGGGGGGGGGAAGGGAACCCCAAAGCCCCCCTAAAGGGGTTCCACCAGACACAGAAACCCAAGCAGGAGCCCTATCTTCCCTCCCTTTTTCTGATCTGATGCCAACACCCCCCCCCCTGCATTTGGGGGGGGGGCTGGTTTGTATATCCAGGGGAGACCCTGCTTCCCCCCTCCCCATTTTCCCCCACTCCCAAGGGACTTTCCCTGGCACAGCCCCCCCCTCCTTCCCCCCCCCTTGCCCGGCATCCATTCCTCCATCAGAATAAATTCCGGTCCTTTTTCTATCTCCGTCCTCATTTTTTTTTCTTTCCCTCTTCTTCCTTCCTGATTTGATCTGCCTTCTGGGGGGGGGCGGTAGGTGCGTGCCCCCCCAATTCCTCCAGGTTCCCCCCCCCTTCCTAGCCAGCTGCCTTCCTGAGCCCCTTCCCATTTGTTTTGCCCCTGCTGTGTGCTGGGGATGGAAAAAACGGTCCAGCCAGTTGCTTTAAAAAAAAAATGGAAAAAAAATTAAAAAATCGGGGATGGGGGGGGTGGGCGGATCAGGGCTTCCCCCCCACCCCCTCCGCCCCCCACCGCAGAGATCCTCAGCTTGAACTTTGGTGCTGATTCAGCTTCGCTTCTTCGCTTTTCATTTCAGCTCTCCATCCTTCTCTGTCTCTCCATCCTTCTCTCTCTCTCTCTCTCCATCCTTCTCTCTCTCCCTCCCTCCCTCCAGCCACCTCTCTCTTTCCCAGCCCCCTCCCTTTTTTTTTCCCAGCCATGTCCCGTGCTTTTTTCTCCTCCCAATCCCTCCATCATCATCTCTTCGTCTGCCTCTTTCCCTGATCCGTTTCAAAGCCGGCTTCCTTTTCTCCTTTTCCAGGTTTTTTTTTGGGGGGGGGAGGTCTCACAAGCTCTTTCCCCCCACCCATCTAACACCTTCCCACACACACACATACCCTCCTGCTTTCTCCATGGGGCTGTCTTTTTCCCCGGCCCCCACCCGTGGTATTCCCAGCGGAGATACCCCTCCATCGGTCTATCGGCTCTCGCCTTGGGTGTGTCTCTGAAGAGCATCTGTGCGTTTCCAGCTCTGGCGAGTGGCTTTTTAAAAAATAAAAAATTATTATTATTTGAAAAAATTCGCCTTCCAGCCTGTTTCGTGGGAATTCAACACTGGGTAAGTGTGGGAATTATTCTGGGATCTTCTACGGGTGAGGCAGGAGCTTGTTGCTTTGGGGTTTTCCTGCATGCGGCGGTCATTAAATGAAACCTAACCTAAGATATACATGTATGTGTATATATTTCTTTTCCACCCATCAAACACAACCGGATCTTCTCCTGTGCAGATCTGGGTTGGGGGGGGGGGGTTTGCAAGGCTGCTGAATTTGCTAAGCCGTGTTTTTATCCATGCTTAAAAGATCCAGGCGGTGAATTGGTGATCTGGGGGTTAGTTTAATGCTGGCTAAGGGTTGTCCAGCTTTGCTGGCCAAGAATGTGGAGGGGGGGCACGTTTTGTCTGGGGTGGGCTCTGCAGCTGACACCAGTACTGCCTGGGTGTGTAAAAGCCTCTCCCAATATGTCTACACCCTGCCTGAAATATTTTTGCATGTGCAAATTGTCTAGATTTTGTGGGGTGCGATTTGTGTTTTGTGTGTGTGTGTGTGTGTGTATGTGTGTGTAGCCTTCTGCTGACTGAGCATCAATTCCTGCTTTTTTTTTTTTTTTGCAGCTCGTATTTGGATTGGGGGAGCCCTGTTGTTGTGGGTTGTTGTTTTTTTTTTTAAAGCCCACCCGTTTCGAGTGCCTGAGATACGCGTGTGCGCTCACGCGCAAGAGTGTGTGATCTTTCTCCAGTGATGTCAACCTGCCCGGTGTGGCGGACAGAAGCTTCGATCGTGGTCCTTGTTTACAAAAGTGCCTGGGTGTGTGTACAGGAAGGTGGGGGGGGGGGGGGAGCGCGTCTGTCTTCCTGAGGAGGCAACGTTTTGTGAGTTGTTTTGGCTTGTTCAGAAGAGAGGCGATGCTTAGCTTCTTCCAGTTTTTTGCTTCTTCATTTCTCTCCCTCCCTTCCTCTCTCTTTCTCTCTCCACTCTTTTGCCACATTCGTGGATTATAATCTGAGTTCTAACTAGCCATAATGATATTTTAGGGTTTCTCAGCCTTGGCAATTTTAAGAACTGTGGACTTCCAATCCCAGAATTCATTCTGTTTTTCCTTCCTTCCTTCCTTCCTTCCTTCCTTCCTTCCTTCCTTCCTTCCTTCCTTCCTTCCTTTTTCTTTCTTTCTTCTCTCCTTCTTTCTTTCCCTCTCTTTCTCCCATCCTCCTGTCTTCTTACTTTCTTTCCTCTCTCTGTTCCTCCCTCCTTCCTGCCCCCTTTCTTTCTTTCTTTCTTTCTTTCTTTCTTTCTTTCTTTCTTTCTTTCTTTCTTTCTTTCTTTCTTTCTTTCCCTCTCTTCCTCCCATCCTCCTGCCTTCTTTCTTTCTCTTTCTTCTTTCTTTCCCTCTCCCTCCCATCCTCCTGCCTCCCTCCCTTTCTCTTTCTTTCTTTCTTTCTTTCTTTCTTTCTTTCTTTTTTTCTTTCTTCTCTCTCTTGTTTCTTTCCCTCCCACCTCCTGCCCTCTTTCTTTCTTTCTTTCTTTCTTTCTTTCTTTCTTTCTTTCTTCTCTCTTTCTTTCCCTCTCTTCCTCCCACCCTCCTGCCTCTCTCTCTCTCTCTTTCTTTCTTTCTTTCTTTCTTTCTTTCTTTCTTTCTTTCTTTCTTTCTTCTCTCTCTTGTTTCTTTCCCTCCCACCTCCTGCCCTCTTTCTTTCTTCCTTCCTTTCTTCCTTCCTTCCTTCCTTTCTTTCTTTCTTTCCCTCTCTCTGTTCCTCCCAACCTCCTGCCTCTCCCCCCTCTTTCTTTCTTTCTTTCTTTCTTTCTTTCTTTCTTTCTTTCTTCTCTCTTTCTTTCCCTCTCTTCCTCCCACCCTCCTGCCCTCTTTCTTTCTTTCCCTCTCTGTTCCTCCCTCCCTCCTGCCTCTCCTCCTCTTTCTTTCTTTCTTTCTTTCTTTCTTTCTTTCTTTCTTTCTCCTTTTTTCCCCTCTCTTCCTCCCACCCTCCTTCTTTCTTTCTTTCTTTCTTTCTTTCTTTCTTTCTTTCTTTCTTCTCTCTCTTGTTTCTTTCCCTCCCACCTCCTGCCCTCTTTCTTTCTTCCTTCCTTTCTTCCTTCCTTCCTTTCTTTCTTTCTTTCCCTCTCTCTGTTCCTCCCAACCTCCTGCCTCTCCCCCCTCTTTCTTTCTTTCTTTCTTTCTTTCTTTCTTTCTTTCTTTCTTTCTTTCTTCTCTCTTTCTTTCCCTCTCTTCCTCCCACCCTCCTGCCCTCTTTCTTTCTTTCCCTCTCTGTTCCTCCCTCCCTCCTGCCTCTCCTCCTCTTTCTTTCTTTCTTTCTTTCTTTCTTTCTTTCTTTCTTTCTTTCTTTCTTTCTTTCTCCTTTTTTCCCCTCTCTTCCTCCCACCCTCCTTCTTTCTTTCTTTCTTTCTTTCTTTCTTTCTTTCTTTCTTTCTTTCTTTCTTTCTTTCCCTCTCTCTGTTCCTCCCTCCCTCCTGCCTCCCCCCCTCTCTTTCTTTCCCTCCCTCTCTTCCTCCCTCCCTCCTGCCTCCCCCTCTCTCTGCAATGCTCACTTGAGTGTGTTCCTAATCCCTATGTCTCTTGATGCAGGGTGTTCTCTACTTTTTGTACCACCGGGTGTTGCTCCTCACCAACTCTACTGCCTCCCCACCGCTCAGAAGAGGTTGACCAATTGTGGGCACAGTCTAGATTGCTTCTGATGGGCCCTTAGGGAAGAAAACCCCAGGACCCCTTTTTCTGTCTGAGGCAGAGTTTTTGTGGCCCCTGAGTTCCACAACCTCCGTTCACGGATGTCCTCTTAAGACCAAGAAGAGCTCATGGAAGCTTAGTTGAGGACTTGGAAGGTCCCTCAGCCACCATGAATGGAGTATCACCATGACTTCATGGCCAGCTGCAATTGGGGATCCACCTTCTGGTTCTCTGCTGTCCATAAGTTACCACTGATCAGCCCAGACTTTTCAACCAAAGAGTTTAGGTCTACACCTTTTTGGCAGTCCTGCATCTGTCCTGAACTGGTGAAATGGAAGGTAGTCACCAATTGGTTGTCTCTTGCTGCTGAAGAACGAGAAGACGCACCAAAATGAAGTTCTTCTAGGAACTCGCATGTATGGTCCTCACCAAAAAAAAAAAACCTCCCACCCTGGGCTCTACAAAGCACTTAGATTGTCTGTGGCTCCACCAGATTCCTCCACAGACCTCAGAAAGCCCATGTCTCCTGATATTCCAGGTGTCCAATTCTTCTCCAATTCCGTGCACCTCCAGTTAGAGTCTTGAGGACCATCAACAGATAACGCCTGGACTCTTGCTTTGTTTGTACTTGGAAGACTTTTTGCGTGTGTGTGTGTGTGTGTGTGTGTCTTATAAACTACAAAGAGCAGCAATCTGTGCTGAGAGCAACACTGATTTTTTTTTTCCAAACAAATTTTTGCACTTTCACGCCTGTTTTTCTAAACTTTCATATAATCCCAACCCTGCCGCATGTTCGTGACCACTAAATGTCGGACTCGCCCTGCCGCTAGTTTCTTCCGGCTTCAGTCCACGGAGGACCTTGGAGGCTGCCAAGAAGACTTTTGGGTTCCTTCTCGGTGCTCCGTAGTTGGCGTCCAAGGAAAATAAAACAAGCCGGCATTAGCAAATTGGAATTGCAGTTCACCCAAGCCGGCGCCTTCTGGCCACAGAGACGGAGAACGGCTGCCAGATCGATGTCTGGCTATCCAGAAAGAGCCATGGAGGGCTGAAGCCGGTCTAGGCGGAGCCCAGCCATGTAGAAACGACTTTGACGGGCAGCAGAGATGCGCACGGGGACTCGGAGGTAACTGCGGCCCGATTGACCGGGGAGAAAACATTACATGAATGTCCAAGGGAGGCAGATTTGAGTTTGATGATGGAGGCTGCTATGTCGGCGACTGGGAAGAAGGCCGGGCACATGGCTACGGGGTGTGCACAGGCCCTGGCGCCCAGGGGGAGTACAGCGGGCGTTGGAGTCGCGGTTTCGAATCTCTGGGCGTCTACACTTGGCCCAGCGGAAACACCTACCAGGGGTTCTGGAGTCAAGGCAAGCGCAGCGGCCTGGGCACCGAGCGGAAGAGTAAGTGGAGTTATAAAGGGGAGTGGTGCCACGGGCTGAAGGGCCACCTGGGCATCTGGGAAAGCCACTCGGGCGTCGTCTATGAAGGCATGTGGCGTGAAGGTCTTCAGGATGGCTACGGGATGGAGACCTACGCGGATGGAGGTGAGCCAGGAGAACGTGTCAAGAAAGGGTTGGGGTGGTCCATTGTTTCTTCGTGGCCCGGTGGTCCCGATTTCATATTTGTCATCTGATTGTGTCTGTCCATCTGGCTTGTGACGCCGTGTCCCTGTCTAGTTAAGATTGATAAGATACACCTTTATTGTCATTTTTTTAACTATGGGGAACAGTGGCCCTCGTGAAAAAATGAGATTCTGTTGCCTGCTCTCAAAATACATAGCACACATATAGATGTGCTACGTACATGCATTGGCATATACCTACACTTTTACATATAAATAACATATAACTATTAATCACTGTCCATCTTGAATGCATAGCGGATGGAGAAAGCTTGAGAGTTCACAAGGTTGATGTTATATGGAACGATCTGGATGGTCTGCTTCGGATATCACAAAGCCCCCTGCCACAAGGCAACGAGGAAAACTGGTTGTGAGGAGGGTGTGTAGTGTCCCAGGTAAACCTGTGGACCTTACTTGAGCAACACTTATGTGCTTTGTGTCTTGGAGAGAAGTTCTCCCCCACAAGTTTGTTGAGGAGCAGCTAGAGAAGACTTTAGTTCTTTCCATCTCTCCACACACTTTTCGTAATCTGTTGCTTCATCTCTTCATGTCGCTCTTCCTCAAGTGTGCCATCTAGGTGTCCTAAGATGGTGGAGGTGGTGATCATGGTGATGATGGTTGTGGTGGCAGTGGTTGTGGAGTTGGTTGTGGTGGTGTTGATTGTGGTGGCGGCGGTTGTGCTTGTGATGGTAGTAATGGTTGTAGTGGCGGTGTTTGTGGTGGCAGTGGTTATGGTTGTGGCAGTGATTGTGGTGATGGTTGTGGCGATGGCTGTGGTGGCGATGGTTGTGATTGTGGTTGTGGTTGTGGCGATGGTTGTGGTGGTGGTGTTTGTGATGGCAGTAGTTGTGGTTGTAACAATTGTGGCAATTGTGGCGATGGTTGTGGTGGTGATGGTTGTGGCGATGGTTGTGGTGGCGATGGTTGGCAATCATGGTGATAGTTGTGGCAGTGGTTGCGATGGTTGTGATTGTGGTAGTGATGGTTGTGATTGTGGTAGCAATGGTTGTGGTGGCGATGGTTATGGTGATGGCTGTGGTGGCAATGGTTATGGTGGTTGTGGTAGTGATGATTGTGGTTTTGGTGGTTGTGGTGGCGATGTGGTGCAATAAAGGTGGTCAGATTTCTTCATTTGCTTTCATACATCATTGTTTCGTTCTTTCATCTAAACCAAGAATAGTCCGCCTTGGCTCTTTTATGACTCGTGGACTTCAACTCCCAGAATCCCTGAACCAGCCACGCTGAAGGAAAAGGGAGAGGTTTCCAAGCTGAGCCAAGCTGGCTCAGGAATTCTAGGAGTTGAAGTCCACGAGACATAAAAAAGTCAAGGTTGCCTACCCCTGGACTAGATGTTCCTCTAGAAGACCATCTGCCCCAAAATAATGGGTAGAGGAGGTGGTTGTGGTAACGGTGGTGATGATGATGGTGGTGGTGGTAGTTCTTTCCACTTCTCTATCACACCGTTGCACACCATTGCTTCATTTTTTTCATCTCGATGTTCTTCTAGAACACCATCTGTGTGTCCTAACATAATGGCGATGATGGCAGTGGTGATGGAGAATAGAAATAGAAACAGAAACAGAGTAGAGTGGAGTAGAGTAGAATAGAGCAGAGCAGAGTAGAGTAGAGTAGAGTAGACCTTTGAGGTCATCTAGTCCAACCCCCTGCTCAGGCAGGAAACCCTATTCCATTTCAGAGAAATGGCTGTCCAGTCTCCTCTTAAAAACTTCCAGTGTTGGAGCACCCACAACTTCTGGTGGCCAGTTGTTCCACTAATTAATTGTTCTAACTGTCAGGAAATTTCTCCTTATTTCTAGGTTGCTTCTCTCCTTGGTTAGTTTCCATCCGTTGCTTCTTGTCCTCCCTTCAGGTGCTTTGGAGAATAGCTTGACTGCCTCTTCTTTGGGGCAGCCCCTGAGGTACTGGAACACTGCTATCATGTCAACCCAAGTCCTTCTCTTTATTAAACTAAACATACCCAATTCCAGAAACCGTTCTTCATATGTTTCAGCCTCCAGTCCCCTAACCATCTCTGTTGCTCTTCTCTGCACTCTTTCTAGAGTTTCAATATCTTTTTTACATGGTGGTGACCAAAACTGGATGCTATATTCCAAGTGTGGCCTTACCAAGGCCTTGTAAAGTGGTATTAACACTGCAAGTGATCTTGATTCTATCCCTCTGTTAATGCAGCCTATTTTGGACCTCTCTTGTCCGAGCGATGTTGAATGTCCTTCACCTACTTTGTTTGACCCCTCCTGTTCCTCCACTGTAGGTACTTACCAAGGCCAGTGGCAGTCCGGCAAGCGTCATGGATATGGAGTGCGCCAGAGTGTCCCGTACCGACAAGCCACCCTGGTGCGCTCCCCACATCGGACCTCTCTGGAGTCTCTCCACAGTGAGGCCGATCCTAACGTCCCTGTGGTTCCTCTCCCTCCTCCTCCGCTGCCTCCTCCACCACTCCCTGGGGACAGCCCTGCCTCAGGATCCAGGGGTGGCTTTGTCTTAGCGTTCCCTGGAGATCCAGACTTCCCCAAGGGCACCAAGAAGAAAAGTGGAGGGTTCTTCCGGCGTTCCTTGCTCCTGAGCGGGCTACGAGTGCGGAGGGCCGAGTCAAAAGCCTCTCTGGGCAGCAAGCGGGGGTCCCTCAAGAGCGAGGCAGGGGTCAGTTCGGCAGGAAGCGAGGCCACCACCCTCAGCTACGCCGAGACTGAACCTCCTGAGCTGCCTTCAACTCTGACCATCGAAGGTTCTTCCACCGAGGTCTATGCGGGAGAATGGCGGGCCGACCGGCGCAGCGGCTACGGGGTGAGTCGCCGCTCCAACGGTCTGCGGTACGAGGGCGAGTGGTTAGGGAACCGGAGACACGGGTACGGGCGCACCACCTACCCCGACGGTTCCAAAGAAGAAGGGAAGTACAAGCTCAACCGGTTGGTGAGCGGGAAGGTGAAGAACCTCATCCCGCTTCGACGGAGCAAAGTCAAAGAGAAAGTGGACCGAGCCGTCGAGGTGGCCCGCAGAGCAGTCAGCATGGCTCGTCAGAAGCAAGAGTTAGCCATTGCCAGGTAAGAGGGGAAACTGGGGGTGGTGGGCGGGAAGAGGACAGAGGATAGCACATTCCTACAACCTTTTCATTGATGGCTTCACTCAAGGGTTGACATGGGAGACGGTTGACTTGCCTTGAAAGAATCCTCAAAATGTGGGTGGACAACGACTGAATTGCTGAGATGTCCTCACTGAAATCTGTGAACATCGGAAGATGTTCTTCTTCCATGGTCTGGACCAGGGGTGTCCAACCTTGGCGACGTTAAGACTTGTGGACTTCAGCTCCCAGAATTCCCCAGCCAGCATGGCTGGCTGGGGAATTCTGGGAGTTGAAGTCACCCTTGGTTCTAGAACTAAAATGAGCTTTACGTGAGGGACAACATTTCTAACATTTTACCTCAAGATTTTTGTGAGTTTTATTCCCAGCTTCTGCCTCGGCCTAAGATCGGTTGGTTGGGAAACGTGTTCCTAGATTTATTCTGATTTTTTTTAAAAAAATATATATTTTTATAGAGAGGACGCAGAATTGCAGTTGGTCAAGAGGAGAATTTCTCCCTCTCAGCAGGAGCCATTTTAAAAAGAGGCGGAATAGCAATTCTCTTTCTGGTATTTTGAGTCCCACACAGACTTTAACACGTAAAAATCCACCTGGATGGAAAATTGCTTATAAAAATAATCTGTGGCTGGTGGGGAGGGATTAAAATGCTTGTTGTTGCTGCGTCTGCTGTTGTCGGGTGTGCATTAGGTGTGTAGACTTTGGCTCCCGCCCTCAAAATAAAGGGAGATAAGATGAATTGAGGCAGTTTTCTAAGGCTGTCTGTCCATCTTTTTTTCTTCTTCTCTTTTTTTCCATCTGCATTTTCTTTCCTTTTCGTCCTTCTCCTGCTCTGCCTCTATTTTCCTCATCTATCAAATCCCCTTTTTCCTTTTGTTTCTATGTTCCTTTCTTTTTAAAATATTCCCTTTTCTAGCCTTAATTCTAGCTGTTTTCCCTTTCCTTCCTGCTCCCTAAGCAGGCCTCCTGCCCCCCCTCTCTCTTTCTCTCCCTCTCTCTTTCTCTCTTTCTTTCCCTCCAGCTCTTTCTCTCTTTTTCTCATTTTCTCTCTCTTTCTCCCTCTTTCTTCCTTGCTCTCTTTCTCTCTCTTTCTCTCTCCCTCTATTTCTTTCTCCTCTTTTCTCTTTCTCTCCCTCTCTCTTTCTCTCTTTCTTTCTCTCCTTCTCTCTTTCTCCCTTTCTCTTTCTCTCTTTTTCTCCTTTTCTCTCTTTTTCTTCCTCACTCTTTTTCTTTCTCTTTCTCCCTCCCTCTATTTCATTCTCCTCTTTTTTCTTCTCTCTGTTTCTCTCTTTCTTTCTCTCGTTCTCTCGTTCTCTCTTTCTCCCGCTCTTTCTCTCTTTTTCTCCTTTTGTCGCTCTTTCTTCCTCGCTCTCTTTCTTTCTCTCTTTTTCCCTCCCTCTATTTCTTTCTCCTCTTTTCTCTCTCTCTCTCTCTCTCTCTCTCTCTCTCTCTCTCTCTCTCTCTCTTTCTTTCTTTCTCCCTCCCTCTATTTCATTCTCCTCTTTTTCTCTCTCTCCCTTTCTCTCTCTCTTTCTTGGTGTAAAGTTGTAGATGAGTCTCTCTGTGTGTGTTTGTATGTGTGTATGCACGCATGTGCCTATTTGTGTTTTTGTATGTGTGTGTGAGTGTGTAAAAAAGGCCGCTCTTGGTGTAGGCTGCCCAGTCACCTAGGCAACAGGAGGACAGGCGAGGCGATTGGCTAACGGCTGCCATGGCAACAGCTGCCGCATCCTACGGGCATGGATCAGGGAGGGGAGGGAGGGAGTGAGGTGGAGTTGTCCAGGGGGAGAAGAGGCAGGAATGGGGCTGATCAGGAGAAATGTTGTCCTCTCTCTCTCTCTCTCTCTCTCTCTCTCTCTCTCTCTCTCTCTCTCTCACACACACACACACACACGCACAGACACAAACACACAAGGGTGGGGGAGCTGAGAGGCATGGAAACAAGAGGAGCAGACAGTGAAGAGGAGGAGCTGTGTGCATAAACAAACTAGGATGAAGGTTGCGTGGGTGAAGGCAAACCAGGTGTTGTGTGGGTGATATTTGTGTATAGGGGAGGCGAATTGCAAGGAGGCAAGCACACTTTTGGGGAGGGATAGTTGCATCCAAGCAGAGCCTATCCCCCCCCCACCTCCCATTGCAGCAATAATCCCTTTTTCATTTCTTTCTTTTCGGGCTCAAAGGCAGTTTTGCAATCTGTCGGGATTCAAATGGCAACTGGACTTTTTTTCAACCTTGAAGAGGTTTCGCTTCTTATCCAAGAAGCTTCCTCAGTTCTGGCTGAATGGTGGAGGATGGAAGGGTTTTCTGCAGGTAATCCCCGCCTTTCAACGGTTCGTTTAGTGGCCGTTCAAAGCGACAACAGCAATGGAAAACAAAGCGTTTTTCACGCTTTGTGGCCGTTGCGCCATCCCCAGGGTCCCACGACAAAAAATTCAGACGCTTGGCAATTGACTCGTATTTACGACGGTCGCAGGGTCCTGGGGTCGTGCGATCGCCTCGTGCCGCCTCCTCACAAGCCAGGTTCATGGGGAAGCCAGATTCACTTAACAACCACGATGCTAACTGAACAGTGGCGGGGATTTGCTTCATAACCGTTACAAGAAAGGTCATAAAGCGGGGCAAAACTTGCTTAGCAAACGTCTCGCTGAGCATCAGAAATTTTGGGCTTAATTGTGGTTGTAAGCTGAGGACTACCTGTATTCTTTTGCAGCCATCTGGTCATTAGTACTCTGAGAGTCGTTGAGGCCACTTGGAAGTTTATCTGTGCCCTCCATGTGGCCTCAACAACTCTCAGAGGGAGTACTAATGACCAGATGATTGCAAAAGAATACAGATAATCCAAGAAGCTTCTTCAGTTCTGACCGAATGGCGGAGGATGGAAGGATTGATATGCCTTTGCAGTCATCTGGTCGTTAGTACTCCCTCTGAGAGTCGTTGAGGCCTCTTGGAGGTTTATCTGAGCCCTCAGGGTCATCTGAAGGGTGAAAATGAGTGTGGAACTTTATTTGAAACTGCTGAAAGGACCATGTTGTAAACAGGAGAGAGGTGGTGTCATATCCCTCCCCCTCTGTTGAGACAGGACTGTTCCGTTTTAATGTAGGTGACCCCTCTTTTGAACCCCTCTCTCAACTGAGGGGGGGGGTTACAACGCCGCCTCTCTCCTGTTTACTACACGGTCCTTTCAGCAGTTCCCAAAAGGTTTTACACCCATTTGTATTTTGATTCAGATGAGCCTGAAGGCAGAGATAAACCTCCAAGTGGCTTCAACGGCTCTTAGGGAGAGTACTAACGACCAGATGAATGCAAAGGCATATCAATCCTTCCATCTTCCGCCATTCGGTCAGAACTGAAGAAGCGTCTTGGACTAACTGTATTCTTTTGCAGTCACCTGGTCGTTAGTACTCCCTCTGTGAGTCGTTGAGGCCACTTGGAGGTTTATCTCTGCCCTCAGGGTCACCTGAATCAAAGTGCAAATATTTGGCTGTGGAGCCTTCTTGGAACTACCGAAAGGAGTCTGTTTAAACAGGAGATGGGGGTGTTGTAACCGCCCCCCCTCAGTTGAGGAATGGGTTCGAAAGAGGAGTCAAAGAGGCCATCTACATTAAGACAAAACAGTCCTCTCTCAACAGAGGGGAAGGATACACCATCACCTCTCTCCTGTTTACCACACGGTCCTTTCAGCAGTTCCAAGAAGGCTCCACACTCAATTTGCACTCTGATTCAGGTGACCCTGAGGGCACAGATAAACCCCCAAGTGGCCTCAACGACTCTCAGAGGGAGAATTAACGACCAGATGACCGCAAAGGCATATCAATCCTTCCGTCCTCCGCCATTCGGTCAGAACTGAAGAAGCTTTTTGGACTGCCTGTATTCTTTCGCAGTCACCTGGCCCTTAGTACTTCTCTCTGAGAGTCGTTGAGGCCACCTGGAGGTTTATCTGTGCCCTCAGGGTCACCTGAATCAGAGTGCCAGTGGGGGGGTGGAACTTTTTTTGAAACTGCTGGAAAGACCGTGTGGTAAACAGGAGGAGAGGTGGTGTCGTATCCCTCCCCCACTGTTGAGAGAGGCCTGTTCCGTCTTAACGTAGATGGCCTCTTTCACCCCTCTTTCGAACCCCTCTCTCAACGGGGCTGGTGGTGTTATAACAACACCTCTCCTCCTGTTTACCACACGGTCGTTTCAGCCGTTCCAAGAAGGCTCCACACCCATTTGCACTCTGATTCAGGTGATCCTGAGGGCAGAGATAAACCTCCAGTAGCTTCAAGAGTTCTCAGGGAGAGTACTAATGACCAGATGACTGTAAAGGATTATAAATCCTTCCGTCCTCCACCATTTGGTCAGAACTGAAGAAGCTTCTTGGACTAGCTGTATTCCTTGAAGTCATCTGGTCATTCATACTCACTCTGAGAGTCGTTGAGGCCACCTGGAGATTTATCTGAGCCCTCAGGGTCATCTGGATAGTGCAAATAGGTGTGGAAATTTTTTTGAAACTGCTGAAAGGACCGCATTGTAAACAGGAGGTGACTGCAAAGGGATATACCGTATTTTCCGGCATATAAGACGACTTTCTAAAGCATTCAAATCGGCTCCGAAGTCAGGGGTCGTCTTATACGCCGAGTTGTCTTATACGCTGGAAATTACGGTAGTTTCCAGTGTATAAGATGACTTTCTAGGCATGCAAATCAGCTCCAAAGTCGGAGGTTGTCTTATATGCCGAGTCATCTAATACGCCGGAAAGTACGGTAAATCCTTTCATCCTCCACCATTCAGTTAGAAACTGAAGAAGCTTCTTGGATGAGAAGTGAAACCTCTTCAAGGATCATGTGATCCAACTTCAGGCACTTGGCAACCGACTCATATTTACGATGGGTGCCGTGCCCTCGGGGTCACGTGATCCCCTTTTGCGACCTTCGGACAACCAAAGTCAATGGGGGGAAGCCCGGATTCTCTCAACAGCTGTTATGA